CGTACACCTAGAAAATAGCCTTGTTTTCTTAATATCTCAAGAACGTTTTAATATTTTGTCGTACAACTTTCGGCCATCTGTAGCCCAGTTCTCATAGTATATCGGTGGAAAGTATCACATATCTATATAACATATTCGTTGTTTTAGAATAAAAGTGGCGAAACTGATCGTATAGCTCACACAAATATATGAGCCAAAATTTAAAAACTACAATTTTACATCTCAACATTTTCAACGAGAAAACATGTTTAAAAGATGTTTTAACTGCAATAGAGCGTAAGACATTATTTTAGTTGTTAAATGGGTGGGTGTGAGTGGAGGTAGGGAATTGAGCTGTAAAATTTCTTTTAACCGTTACGCATCGATATTTGCACCAACATCCACACATTCACACCCATACGCTGATCGAAGTACAGCCAATTCTTCTACCCCTACGAAGGAGCTAGGTAAGTCAACATTGTGACTCATTCTTTGTTATCCAACACTTGAAAAGAATCCAGATAACAATGTTCGACGCATATTCCAATAAAAAAGAAAGAAAGAAAGAAAAACAAATCTTATGATCGTTTATGCGTTATCTACATCAAAATAATTGTATTTAGAATTACAAAAAACAATGAAGTACTCGTTTGTGTTCATTTTGGCGTCAATATTAGTGATGTATATCCGTAAGGACAAGGTACAACGTACTCACACTGCTGGGCAACGCATCATTCAAGTGAATTCATTTCACAAAGGAGATGTGATCGAATTCGTATTGAGATCAAACGAAACGGGTCATACCCATTCGACGATCAAACAGACAATCATGCATGATGGTCCATGTGGTAACTCACCGACAAGTGTACATCCACTGAAACGACCCTGTACTCCACCCATTCATTACCACCTTAAACAAGATGAAAGATTCGATGTGGAGAAAGGCACACTGGGGTACATCTTAAATGAAATGAATGGTACAATAGAAACGCATGGGCACTTATGGATACCGAAAGGCTCATGTCACACATTTTGGAGTGCTGGTAATGACGATTTGATTGTGAACATAACGCTCTATAACGATCAGGGAATGATACCTGGTAGAAGTGCTGATTCTTACTTCGAAAACATTAATGGAGTTAGGCGTGATAGTCCAAGTTTAATAGCAACACTTCAAGTTCAAATGGGTCATGACATTTATAGATGTGACATTCCGAAACTTTTTAACTCAATGTTCAGTAAAATTTTTCAATTGATTGCTTTAGCTCTTGGTTATCAAATTCAATACGTTGAATATACCACACCAGTTATTTAGAGATGTAATCCTTTTCGCTTCTTATAGAGTGTGGGTGTGGATGAGTATTGATGAAAAGACGTTGACACCCACATCCTTCGTCTCTTGAGTAGAAGTGAGGTGCGCGTATTTGTTTCTCTTACAAGCGTGTGAAACCGAAGATTATAGAATGCTGTTTCTAATAATGACTGACGCGCTAACTACGTGTTTCTGTATGATGTTATCATACTGTAAAACGTTGAATCATTGGTGTAGTAAATAAATTCGAAAGCAATGATTGAGAAAAACAGACTACTTATCAGTTTGCTAAGAAAAATGAACTGTTTTTCTACTCATTTTTTACTTCAGATGATGGAATTAGAAGCGGCGTTCGTTTGGAGTTGCGTAGTTATTAAAGAATGAAACACAATATGCGAAAAAAAAAGAAAGCAATGTGTATTATTACGGCCATAGTTATTTACAACATGCATTGAACTTCAACGAACGATGCACAATTAGATGCTGGCGCGAGCATCATTTTTGCTTAAGCTGAATAACTTTTGCACCGAATTTAGCCACTAAATTCAAAAAAACACATATACGCAATGATTATATCAACGGGAAAAGCATTACGACTCACCCTTGGCATTGATCGGTAGCTTTGCCTGCGACTCAACAATGTAATCCTTCAGTTCCGGTAGTTCGCGGACATTGTTCAGAAGTTCTTCGACATAAGCATATTTCCCAATTACTCCATATGCTTGATCCAGGGTAAAGATACAACCGAAATATTCGAACAATTGAAAATCAGCCACAGTCACTTCATCGCTGACGGCGAACTTTCCTGTGCGTTTACTGAGATAAGCATCTAGCTGTCGGAGATTTTCTGAGAAATCTGTCTCAAGAAATTTCTTCTGCTCTGTTTCAGAATCTCCATGAGGACCGTAGCACAATTTAGCAAACGACATGCGCAAATCATGAGCTTGTTCGCATAACATTAATACAAGGGCTTCTTCTTCAGGTGTTTTACCCATCAGATGAAATTTTCGACCAAGATAGTACAGAATAGCCTTTGATTGAGTGAGCTTCAGGTTGCCATCGATCAAGTAGGGCAAATTTGGAAAGTCTACCATTGTATATATCATAATTAATTCTGCGAAAATCAATATTTTCTTACCCAAACCGAGTTTGAATTTTTCGCTGAGCCAGTCGTCGCAATTAAATTCTGGTCCATCGCCGAGCTCGTACATCTTGTCCGTGAAGACTACCTTGGCATAATGCAGAGCCAAGCGACTTGGTTCAGCCAGGCCACGAATAGCCCAGTAGCCGAGCACTAGTTGATCATTATTTGTTGTTGACTGAGTCGTCATATTCTTTAAAAGATTAATCTAGAAAAAAATACAAATTTGTAGTAACGCGCAATAACTTTAAAACTCTTTTGTCAAGAACGGAGTAGACTATTAATAACATAGATGTGTACGTGTCTTATCTCCATTAGATGGGAACACGTGCTTATCGGTAGTTGTTTCTTCTTTGATAACCGTGTCACATGCTTTAGTCAGCTAAAGAAAGTAAAAGAAAAGAAAAAAACGGATGCAGCGTATGTTGGTGATACACACTGTAAGTTAGTTAGAGTGACGCTGCATTAGACTAGTAGTTTGTTGGTGATAGAAAGATTTCAACACTTGCATGACTTAATGTAGTTACGCTGGTATACGAATATATTTCTAGTTCCGTGGACTGCGTTAACCCTGGGTGCGAAAAACGTAAAAAAACATATCAGAGGATGATTTACGTTGTTATCTGAGGATGTGAGTGTAAGGCATGGATAAAAAATACACATCCACATCCATACCCACTCTCTCAAAATTGCTATCTTGTTCAAAAACTCTTCTTGAGTGAAGAAATTAAGTAGAGAATTTTCCGAAGTTGATTGCAGATTTTGACTCTGTGACGCTAAAAGCCTTCGGTAAAAAAAATACTGATTATCAAATCTGTTCTAAGCCAACTTACTGAACAGCCAGTAGAGTTGGATGTCCGGACAAACTGGGTAGTCAGTCGGATCGATCACCCAGTCGAGACTGAAAACTGTTGCATACCTGTTCTAGACTGAAGTGATTGGGTATATCATTTTTTATAGTTATACTTCAAGATGTGAATGTGGGTGTTTAGGTTCAGATATGGATGGAGTGTGGATGAGATGCGAAGACTGCTAAAGAGAAGAAATACATTCACACTGACATTCTCTCTCAGTCATATCCAAATCTCGTAAAAAAACTCTTTCCAAGATGAAAAAAGCAAACTGAAGATTTTGAAAGACGATTACAGTTTTGAATTGCTCGATTCGGATTACCTTTGGTAAACATTATAAAAAGTCATGATATATATATATGTGTGTGTGTGTGTACACGTGAATATACTTGTGACTGCACATGTGACTGTAAACAAATATACAAACTCTTTTTTTTCATGTGACAGTCTCTTATGTTATACAACACATTTTTTTAATGAATGAAAGAAAACGTTTATGAACTGGTGTAAAGCAAAGTTATGCAATAACTGATTGAATTTTTATGTTCGCATACTGTGTGTTATTTTTTATTTCGTTGTCTGACATCAATCAAAACACAATAGAAATGCATTGATAAACGAAATTAAATTTCGTAATAGAAGTGATAAGTTCTCATTGCTAGAGTTCTATCGAAGGTCAGAATATTTGTTTCATTGTTACATAGTCTATATTTTCATTGAATTTTAAATATTATAGTCATGTCGCAATCATTTTCATTTTTGGCTAAAAGGCATAGAAAACACAGTTCAATCTAAGACAATGATTGTTTTTCTGCGCTCTCAAGTTTTCTGGTTAGTTTCTATGAGATCGAGCATTTATCTCAAAATCATCGTTCGTTCCATGAAACGAAAAACTGATCAACTATTTTGCATTCAATTCAATCAATGAGACCTGATAGATCGATAGGGTGATCATCATGTTGTCGAAGAATGAAATTCTTAAGTCCAATAATTCGATGTACGGCAGAGTTGATATTTCACTTTGTGAATAATTTACGTTGACGCACGATTATTTGCCATTCGCGTGGTTATTTTTTTTTCTTCAAAACAAAAATGACGAGAAGGATTCGATCGAACAGTATTGTGTGGTATGTTTTATCTTGAAGATCTGAGAATTTAATTAGGAGAAAATATTTTATCATCATTTATCTATTAAACTGCTTTCTCCACTCACAGACTTCACTGATCTATTGTTAGAAATCAACCTACAATCGTGTTATCAACTAAATCATATCAAAGTAGATTTTTCATTTGAACGTTATCGTCGGATAGAAGAATGACATTCTATGTTACATATGGAGATTATTTATGACTATTACATAGTGGTGTACTTTGGAGGAGGGTCATCGAACACTTCTTCACTGATTCTTTTTTTGTACATAACATATATAGTTGATTGATGAGAGATCGTGTTCAAAATAACAAATTTTTCATTGAACTGTTTTTTTCTATCATGTCATTATCATAGAATGTTCTTGTATTTGACTCAGCATCAAACTTGAGTCCTATCAACGAAAACCTTGACTTTTGTTCAATTAGATTAAAGAGCTTATTCAAGTTAAAAACATAGTCATTTTTCTTTTCATTTCCGTATGAGTATGTTAACAAGAAGTTTAATATCAAATCACATTCTAGTGAAATATTCAATATAAAGAACTTGGTGCAAAATGACATAGTTTCAAAGCCATTTCCATGTAATTTGTCCACGACCAATACCAAGATCTCCGACGATCGCTTTAAAAGCAGCTTCAGACAGATCAAGATCACCATAACGACATCCAGGACATTTATCAACAATTTTTACTGTAGCTGATCCGTTCGGACCAACGACATTGACTAGTTTATTACATAATGTGTTTCGATTTGGATTACCATTAGGTGTTTGTGGATCGAATTGTGCTGAATTCAAGGCAGCGATGTATTCACTATCACTGTGCATTGTTCCACATGCTGTAAAACCAACACTGACAGTATAATATGTAGCTTCTCCTTTGAAAGCATCACCTAAACACACAACACAAAGATAGATCTCTCTTGGGAGACTAACGAAGAATCATATTTTGTTTTTCAAGAGTAAGTTTTCTATCGAACAAACATACATCATGCAGCAAGTAATTCAGAAAATATATTTTCTTTTCCATTCTCGTTCGTTAATGAATTTGATCTGTCTTCACTACAAACTGAGGATCAGATCAGTATGGCTATGACTTTTATTGTTTTCCAGATCATCTCTGAGTAAGAATGCATCAAAGATTTTAACAATTTTTATCAAATCTGATTCGTCTATTACAAATAAGTGCAGATAAATTCGTATCGACAAGAATTAGCATATGTCAAGAACATATGAATCTTAATACCAGCTGAAAAAGGTCGAAACTGTTGTCTTTTCACTTTAAGTCTTTTGAAATAACCTCCGAACTCGAAGAATTGCAATCTTTCAATTGAAACCAACAAAAGATCTACAGAGAACATATATTCTCTGAACTATCAGTGTTCCATAAAAACCTCTGCTAATTGCTTTTAGAGAATATTGATAAATTTTCTGAAACTCTTTGAAAGTCTGCAAAACCTACTTCAACTAATTTCCAATGTCACTATATCAACATCACAGATCGAGCCTAGAAAGAATGTGAATAAAATATAACCTACCCCCAGTGTTGTCTCCACCATTTCCCTTACATGGACCAGCCTTACAGCCATCACCACAGTACTCTAAAGTTTTACCACAGTAATCCCATTTTGACAGACACATATCCGGTTCAGGACAACCTGAGGGAACCATTCTTCGACTCAGAATATGTCGCCATCGAAATTTGTTGATGTTGTCATAGCCTTGAACATTGAGAACGATGCCAAGTGAAATGAAAACATAGAAAAGTATGCAGCGAAACATGATTGAATTTACTTTTCTCGAGCTTAGTTCTTTTTTGTTATCTAAAAAAGTATAAAACAGAAGTAAAGAAACATCCACGTAGATAAGATCTCATTTAGATATGTGAATAGGAGAGAGAGAGAGTGCTGTAAAAGAGAATACTAGATTGAAGGTGAGAGATATGATACACTTTCGAAGTCATTATTGAAAACAAGACATAGAACGAAGAGGACACAAACAGAAAAATCCAGTAGTTCTTTTTTTCTCCTTTATTTCGATGATCATTGAAATACGACGAGACATTTCTCTTACAGGATAAAAATTGACAAAATTCGATTGAGTAAAAGACGGTCATAAAACATTATTCTCATCTTGCTGCCTGACAATCCGTAGTTCTAGTCAATAGCTGTCATTTGAATACAACCATATTCTGTCTGAACTTCTACTAATAATACAACGATGAGTGTCATCAACTGTGTGCTGCATCTATCGGTCTTATTAGGATACTCTATTCCATATTCATTGGTGATTCGTCATGAACGTATTTTTTTACCGTCATGTTATAGTGAAATCAATTTCTCTCACAAAACACTATATTGCTAGTGAATATTGAAGAAAACAAAACGATGAAAAAATTTGCATTGTCTTGTGACGATGTCTCCATTGTATTATACCAACTGGTTAATAGCACTCTACTCATAATTACTAGCGTTTTGGAAAAAAATATCAGATTCACTTATTTGTATGGACTTCAAAATCACGGCAAACTGAGTAAAAAAAACACCAAAAACCATTTAAAAAAAAGTAAATAGAAATTTATGTACTTACAGCAAATTGAATAGCGCATATACAGCTTATGATTAGATCCAAAATTTATATATCAACATTGAGGAGAGAATATTATTCACTCATTAGTACATTTGTTCAAGCATATTCTGTTTTATTCAAAATACCTGAAAGTAATTAAAAATAGATCCAGAACACCCACGAGCGCTGCAATAGCACTTCATTCATATTCGATATTGATTTCGCTATCTATGTAAATATATTTCGATATAATCATGATTGTGATTCACTGAAACATGACAACTAATCGACCATTGTCATAATCGATTCATTTCATATTTACATAATGTGTGGGTATAGCGGAATATTAATGGAGTGTCAGAATATTTAAATGTTTTTCAATTGATTACAGATATTTGAATGTACAACACGTCATAAACCACTTCAAGTAATACGTCATGAAAAAGCCTTATTTTTCTCTTAAGATTATAAATGATCCATAGTATCGAGCTGTTGTATATCGAATAAGATTTAATGTTAGTGGATAGATTTCAATTTTTGAGGGTTTTTTTCATATTTCAGACGTGTTTATTGAATTCAGCATGTTTTCTCTGTAAAAAGACGTATATAGTACCAAGTTTCAAATTGCATATCTATTAGTTTTAGATCGTAGTTTTCTTTTTGTGATCACCAATAGTTATAAGTTGAGCGATCACTGCAGTCTCATTAGATGTGAATGGACCATACGACAACTTTTTCCGGATACTGTTGAAAAATATTTGAAGTCCAATGAGTTGACAACGACATTTATCTATACTAAAATTCGTTACATCAGGATCTTTCTAATACTATTTAAGTAAAAACGCTTGAGTAGCTCAGTTTGAAAACTTGTCTAAAGCGAGAATGTTCGAACGTCAATTAAAAACGCGTATCAATATGTATCATTGAACATAAATTCTCGAGGTCGAATTGTTAGCTAAGGTTGTTTATTAACACATTTAAAAGCAGAATATTGATGCTAATTTCACTATGAAAATAAAACTATATGAAATCATACTCGATTCAGTAAATAATAGCGGCAGAAGGAGAGCGATACATTGTTTTCGCCTGTAAGGAGAAAAAAATTATAGGTTTAGGAAAATCTGCCATATTTGCGTCATGTAGAACAAAAAGAACTACTGGATTTTTCTGTTTGTGTCCTCTTCGTTCTATGTCTTGTTTTCAACGATGACTTGAAAAGTGCATCATGTATCTCACCTTGAATCCAGCATTCTCTTTTGCAGCACTCTCTCTTTCTTATTCATATATCTAGATGAGATCTTGTCTACATGGATGTTTCTTTACTTCTGTTTTGTACTTTTTTAGATAAAAAAAAAAGAATCTAGCTCGAGAAAAGTAAATTCAATCATGTTTCGCTACATACTTTTCTATGTTTTCATTGCACTTGACATCTTTTTCGATGTTCAAGGCTATGACAACATCAACAAATTTCGATGGCGACATATTCTGAGTCGAAGAATGGTTCCCTCAGGTTGTCCTGAACCGGATATGTGTCTGTCAAAATGGGATTACTGTGGTAAAACTTTAGAGTACTGTGGTGATGGCTGTAAGGCTGGTCCATGTAATGGAAATGGTGGAGTTACTGCAGGCGATATCATCAACAGCAATACTTTTGCTTGTGTATTTAACACGATCGATGATGCAACGCGAACAAATCGATTCCATGGATTGCAAGCAACAGGTTGGAAGCCATCGAACAAAGACGAAGCAGCCGTCTTTCTTGCTCATGTTTTTCATGAATCAGATGGTCTCAAAACAGTACGAGAATATTGTGCTCCAGGTATGCGACTTTTAAAACAGTGAATTTATTCGCACTAACACAAAAATAGTTTCTAATAGGTATTTGAAGATTCCATTCTGAGTATATGAACATGAAAAAAGAACGATGAATCCTGAGCACATTAAATAACAAGTACATGTGTTTCCTAGGGTAACAGAATCATCCATGAGCATTTATAGTACATTCATTTGTATTATATAGAATTTAGAAATCCACAAACGGAGGGAGATATAGAAGAAATTTTGCATATAAACTGGAAAAGTTCTAGAACATTCTGGTAGAGTTATTCAACTTTGAATTTTAATATTCAACTCGAAAACACAAAGATATTCGACATTGTATCATTAAGAAAATTTCAAAATTCATGTTTATAACATATATAACCCAAATTTTCATCGATCGATAGCACTTTTGTTAAGATTATTTATGTTTAAAGTCAGAATCGATATAATATATATCACTGTCATCTTTCTATCTGATAATAGGTTGTGGTTCTAATTATGCTGAATCATGGTGCGAGATTCAGGGTAATCCAAACAAACTGTACTATGGACGAGGTTGGTTTCAGCTCTCGTGGCCATGTAATTATTATCGAGCTGGCCAAGATCTTGGTGTTGATCTTCTCAATGATCCGGACAAGGTTGAAAATGATCCTACTCTAGCAGTAAACACAGCTATCTGGTTCTACAAGGTCAATAATATGGCTGGACCTGCTCAGCAAGGTGATTTTGCTGCAACAACACGCATCATCAATGGCAAACAAGAATGTGACAATGGCCCAGGTTACAATAATCAATTGACTAGAGTCAATACGTACAAACGTGTTCGACAATGTTTCGGACTCGGAGAACCTTCGAAGAATCCTGTGTGTTAGTCTCTCTTCTCTGCTTTGCTTTTTCGTCAAAACATATTACTCATTGATAAATAAACATTTTGTCACAGTTCTAACAAAATAAAACTCTTCGACAGAAATAACTTTCAGATTCAACAATGGTTTCTGCATCACATGATGATGGAAAGTTTATAGGATGTGAGTCTTGTCTTGAACCATACTCACACCCAGCACTTGAACGTCATCGTTAGTAGAAATCTTTTGAAAACAAAATATCAAAATTTTTAAGCTATTTGCAAGGTTCTATCGATTCGTTTTGCGGAATAACTGTTGGTTCATTGACATAAAAATACCATTGTTAAATGAACAGTTAATCCAAAATAGAATGCATCTATGAAATTTCTCTTATCTAATCTTATGGAAGTTGTTATTCATTTCAATATGTTTGATAATGAATATTTTTCATTTAATGACTTGTTTTTGAATTAATTCAATAGATTGAAAAGAAAGTTTGTTTTTTTTGTTCTATTTAGAAATGCTCGCATGTACATCAATACATCTTGTTGATATCATTCCATGTTCACTTGATACATTTTTTAACTCGACCTTCACTTCCATTTACCCAACAAGTTTATCGTAACAATTGATCATCAGTCGTTATTAAATGTGTTGTTCAAATTTTGACCACATAAAACTAGAAAATTCGACGTTAATTGTATATTTTTATTCTTTTGCATTATTTATGTAGTTGAATTCCTATTTTAAGTATGTATATGTATGTTATCCAAACGGTGATCCTTCTTTGATTCCGCCTGATAAATTAGCGACCTCACCAACCTCAGCATGAATTAGTCTATTGTAAAATTGCTTATATTTCAAGGCTAATGATTTTATTATCCATAACAAAACGATGTATCAGTTTGTCAAATTTATATAATCAAAAACAGATTTCCTTCGTCGGCAGTAGGTTATATTCTTCAGCTGTATATTAGTCTAATTGGGTGTGAATCTTCTTTTAAACACATTCACACCCTTTAGAGATCAGTAAATCAGAAATGGAAATCAAAAAAAAAGTTTCTAACTAACAGTTACGTTGACTTGGAATTTGGTGTAGCTATAGAACTACTAGTACACTCATTACAGAAAAAGAATTCAATTGAAAGAGGATTGCTTTTTAAGGTATGTTTTCGTTTTCATAGAGTTATTTATCTTTGCTGCTAAGCGCTGCTCTATGCTCTTTTATTGTGTTGTACTTTGTTTTTCAGTATGAAACTTTGACAACAAAATAGCAGTGAAAATGAGCCTATAGCAACTCCATACTAATAATGAAAATGAAACGCAAAAATCTTGCTAAGTTATTCAAGATATTGTCCTATTCTGAGCTAAAAAGGATCCGACGTGATTTCCACGAAATACAAAATTCTTTCCATATGAGAGACATCTTGCCTGGTCATTTAAAATTTTATCTATCGGTCTCTTGTCTGATTTTCAAGAGATCTTGTTTTCTAGACAATAACATGTACTTTTCTGCTATCTTCAGTAAAAATAGTACTTTGTATACAATTAGATCATGTAATTGATGATTTCTTTTAGAGAACAATGAAATAAAAGCAAGTATTTTCTTATTCGTTACTATAACTATTAAATATTGCAATAGTTCTCTTTTTCCATTTTAACTCTGTTATTGGTTTACAGTATCGCTAACAACCAAGTAGGAACAAAACCAAAAAACAGGAGGTTTGGCAAGTCTGATGAAAACGAATAGCTAATGCTTCTCTCAAGTATTATAAAAAATTTCGATAGATTTTATCACATATAAAAGACAAACAACATGTCCTACCATTGTAATACTTAGTGTGATTAATACGGTGAGTGAAATTCTTTGTTCTATTTCTTAGTTACTTATTCAATTTTATCTTTGATATACACATTCAATAAATAAAGTCTATGCATAAAATCTGCTCTTGATTTTGTCATAAAAAAATATACATTTATAAAAAGTCTTGCTTAGAAGGAATGATAATCATCAGTAAGAAAGCCATTGGTAGCTTCATTAAGATTCGATACATGTCGAATTGTAGGTCGTCCATGAGGACAATTCTAAATAATAAGTTTAGATATTTAAATTAAGCATATTTGTTTCTTACTTACCCATGGTTTAGCTAATTGACCGAGATGTCGAACAACATTTATCATTTGTTTTCGTGTTAAATCCGTACCAATCATAATTGCCATTCGACAAGCTTTCGATGCAAATACTTTTCGTAATCGAGATGATTCATAATGTTGTTCTTCTTGACATGTTTTTTGACTTGTATCATTTAAATGTGAAAGTATTTCATCAATTTCATCAATACCAAATACGCATGATTGAGCACCAGATACTGTTGGATAAGAAAGAACACGACAACGACGATCAATACGTGTTTCATTTTCATCAATTTCAATATCAAATCTAAAATTAATAAAATAAAAACACAATTTTTGTTTTTTTTTCTTCTAATCTCTAATAAATTACCCAAGTCGATTAAATAAATCTAAATGTTGTTGAAGAAGAACTTGTCGAGATGGATCAAGTGGTATGGATTTTGGATGAAGAAGTGGTTGTCGACTAACAGTTGTTTGTTCATAAAGACGATGAAAATTATATATTTCATCAGCTGCATGTTGATCAACAATAAATAATTGTGATGAATGATCAACAAGTGTAACAAGTATAAAACCACGATTAAATTGTCCAATTATATGCATTCTATTATGAATTATAAAGTAATTTATTTAATTTGAGAGTCAAGCAAAAAAAGAAAACAGAATATGTTATGAACCTTTCAAAATCAGTTTTATCAATTTGTCGTCGTAATTCATTTTCAGCTTCTTCATTTTGATCTTCTTCAATATGAATATTAAAACGATGATCCGATATTGTTGATGATATATCTTCTTTTTCAGTCATTAATCGATATTTTTCTTTGAGTTTATTCATACTAAATTTAACTTTGATTTCACATGATTTATATGATGTAACTTTCTACAAAATAAAAAGTAAAAAGTGACTCAATGAATCAACAGAAAATATTTTAGTACAATCTTTCTTTTTGATTAACTCACACTGATTTTTTTTTCTCGAATGCTCTACGAAGCAAATATTTCTACTAGTATATATTTGTTCAAAGAAAATCGAATTTTTCGATTTTTAAAAAACAATAAGCTTTTCTATCTATGAAGATTTGAAATAAATTGCAAAAAGAAAAATATACAATGAATACTTACAATACTTTCAGATTGTTCGATTGTCTTAGGTTTTTCTTTAACGATTGGTGTTGATGTATACATTTGTAAATCATGATCAGTAGAAACTGATATTTCAATTTCGTCTTCTTCTGTTTTATCATTTTGTTTAAGTTGTTTTATTTTATCGAGAAAATCTTTTTTTGATGGACTACCATGCACTAAAGTAGTAACATGTGGATCATCTTCCTCTTCATCTTCATCCTTATTCGAAATGTTTGATGAATTATTTTTTACAATAGAATGTGATGCAAATGTAAATAATGCTCGATCTTGTGTTGATAAATTTGATGATGATAGACTTGATTTTTCACTACGAATCTAAAATAAATGTCAATGAAAGAACAAAAAACAATTTATAATTTCGAATACAATACCATATTAAAAGGACCAGAAAATTTCGATAAAGGATTACTAGTAGTCAAAATTGGAATATCAGAAGATTGTGACTAAAAATATTTAAAAACAAAAAAAAAAAAATTCAATTTTTTACTTTCATGATTTTTCTTTTGTTTTTGTTGTCTTACAGTTTTTTTAACAAAACGTTCAATTTTTATTTGTTTTATAGGTGGTGTTGGAATATCATTATTTTCTATTGTTTCTTGTTGTCTTTTATTTGATACAACATAAACATTACTACTTGTTTCAAATAATTTATTAAGAATATTTCGAATTTGATCACACATATTTGATAAATGTTCAATAAAAACAGTTCGTTTATCTGGTGTACAATTAACATCAAGTGTACTTCGATCGAGTACTTCAATACTTAATACAATAAGTGGATATTGATTTGGATTAAATTGTCGATATACATCATTTATTGTTCGTAATAAAGGTGCACAATCAATAGGTCGATTATTTACATAAACATATTGTCGATCAGTTGATGAACGACCAGAACCATGTTGAGGTCGAGATATAAAACCATCGAACTATATAAAAAATATGTTGTTTAAAGAAAAAAAGAAAAAAACAATTTTATCAATCAATTTACTTTAAATTCTCTATTTTGATCATTTTCATTATCAATAATAGGTATAATAGTTTCAAGTATTTTTTGTCCAAATATTTGTGCTAATGTATCTTTTAATGAATTTGATGGAGTTAATGTTAATAATGGATGTGTTGGTGGATGATTATCTGATGATGATAAGATTTGAAAAAATTGAATTTGTCGTGATATAATTGCAAATGATTGTATAATATTTAATGCTTGTGAAAATTCTCGTTTTGAATGTGCACGTAATTCAGTACGACGAACAGGAAAACGATTAAATAATGAACGAACTGATACTGTTGTACCAATCTTAAAATTAAAAACTTGAAATTCAATTAACAATATCAAAATATATTTTACTTCTCGAGGAAAAGGTGTACGTGAAATAACTTGACCTTCACCATCAAATACTAATTTTGTTCCTATAGATGCTGATGCATGACGTGTAATAATTGTAACATCACTAAATAATATCTTCATTTAAAGAACAAAAAAAAAATTGAAAAATAATTAATCTTTACGCATAAATACAAATTGATGATAAAGCTTCACCACGAAAACCATATGTATTAACATGTTCAAGATCTTCATATTGACTTAATTTTGATGTATGATATCGAAGTCCTATAAATAATATGTTACGTTTTTAAAATCGAAAAATTTAAATATACCTATTTTTTCAAAGTCATGTTCAGCAATACCATCACCATTATCAATAAGTTCAATTAGATCAGCACCATGTGCAATAAATGTTAATTGTAAACGTGTACTATGTGCATCAAGACTATTTTCAATTAATTCTTTTACACATGAAGCAACACTAACACAAACTTGACCAGCACATAAACGAAGACGTGTAGTTCCAGCTAATGGACGAATTTGTGCTGGTTGAAGATTATCATCATCATCATTATTATTATTATTCATCTGAAAGATAGAATTTTTTCTTATTTTTTCTTATTTTGAAATTTTATGAGATATTAAAAAAGTAAACCAAGATAAACAATGAATAGTAGTGTCTTTTTCAATAGAAAATAAAGATGAATTTCCTAATTGACCATGTTTATTCGAACCACATAACCATACATGATTATTTGATCCAATAAAAGCACTATGTCTTGCACCAGCTGATATATGTCTACAATCGATATCCAATGGTAAACAAGTAACAAGTGTTGGATCACAAAATACACTTGATATATCATCTTGATCAGAAGAATCAAGACCAAGAGCACCATCATTATTCCAACCCCATGACATGACTGATCCATCCGAAAGAAGAACTAAATGGAAAAAAAAATTACTTCGATAAAATTTTGTTTTGTTTTTGAATCGTATATATCTAATAATTCTCACAATAACTTTTTTCGTACCAAAAATCTTAGTATTTTTAGTATTTTCTGTAATTTTTAGTTTTTATGATATTTTAAATTCTTCGATACATGAAAGGAAAGATAATCAATCGTGTAATTTTCTCAACAATAATGAATTAATATAAAGATTGAATTCTATTTTGGTCCCTTACGAATTTAGGTTTTGAACAGATTAGTATGATTAGAGTATGTAGCTCTATTAGATTTAATATATGTTCGGTCTCTTATTAAAATTAAAAATCTTACATTTCTTTCTACCTTTCTGCAAGGCTTCGAATATAACAATTAAGAGAATAATCAATTGGTATACTGATAGATCTTTTAAAATACATAATTGATGAGAAAGTTTCATGATTGATCATGTTTGTATATTATTAAAGCTAAAAATGACAGAAGCTAGTAGAAATGCTAATACCTTTCGATCTGTTACGAGTTATTTTACAACAAGGTATAGGTGGCTTTTTCAATGAATGATAATTATATGATTCAAGAAGATTCTTTCTTTTAACTTATTCTACCTAATGAATGCCATCCACCAGCAGCAATATCAATGACATCATTTGATAATGATTCAATATGTGTAGGTTGCGAACAAGGTTCAAGATCACCAAGACCAAGTGCACCATGAAGACCATTTCCCCAAGTAAATATTCGTCCATCAGAAAGTAAAACTAGAACATGTTCTTTTCCACTACATATTTTTTTAATCTTTGAATCAAATGACCATTGATCATTTGTTAATGAAAATATTTTACAATCATATCCAATAAAAATCGATCCATCATCAAGAGAACATAAATGAATTTTTTCATTTATATTTAATGATTCAATTATTAAATTTTTTTCTTCTTGTTTTGTATGTAAAATACATATTTTTAATTGTTCTAAATTATCTAATAAACGATAAACATAAATAATTCGATCAGTTGTTGATGTTAAAGCAAGAATTGGATTTGGTGTAATGATTGTTTCATATGAATTATTGAATTTTTCACCGAGAAGAATCGAAGAAAGATCATAGATAGTTAATGTACATTGTGATGCTAATACTAATTGACGATATGTAGCTGTTATCAATAGATGATTAAAATCGATTTTTTCATCAATATTAATATCTATTTGTTTATCATAATTTAAAAGGCGAAGATGAGACATTGAATATAATAAAAGAATTTCTATTGTATTATTATCCGTTGTTTCTTAACCAAAAAAATTATATTGGTTAACATTACTATTCTCTACTTGTCAAATCCAGCAGGTGTCGCAAATTCACGTTTTATAAACAATTTTGTTTTTTCATCGAATAACGACAATCTCACATATATATATATATCCTAAGACAGTATGTACTTACATAACTGTTTTGTAATTACATAAGAAGATTGTAATGAACAGATAAAGAATGAAAAAATCGATATTAAGAATATTTATTGTATGCAAGAGTGTCTAGAGCGGACAGGTTACATCACAATCTTATGAAATGTTCCAGCATTTTATTCGATTGTATATCCCTTACTTTATTCGAATAATTATTTGAATTCTTTCTAATGTTTACAACAGTAGAAAAAAATTGAAAATAAAACTGGTTGAATAATTTTGATACTCATCATATATCGATAATAAGAATAACTGCTTTAATTTCATATATATATAATAGAAATAATGATCTAAAATAATATTTTTACAGTCAAGAAAACTATTTCATTAACTTTTTCTTATCAATTTTGTTCTTTCAGCCGAAAGCTTATCAAAGATTTAATTTAAATCATTTATTTTATTCACAAAAAATTATTCTACATTAATAAATATTTATTATAAATATGTTTATGTTTGATCAGATGGTAATATTATTATTGGTAATTTAAATTGCCAAATTATAACTAAACAACAAGCACATTCAGCAAGAAATTCAAATCCTGTACTAATCTGATCACATAAATACCATTGATGATTAACAAAATATAACCATTCATTGACAACACTTATAGTAATAAAAACAACAAAAAGCCAAAGTGCCCATTTTAAACGAAGTGTAAATAAATGATAATAAACAGAAAAAAAATCGTATAAAATAAATAAACTTATATTAGCTACAGTTTTTTTAACAAGATTTTCTTGTGCAAATATAGGAACAAGTATAGCTAAAATTATTTCAAGACGTGATATAACACTGAATAAAGCTTTATGTTGAACACAAATAAGTGGATCATATGAACGAATTTTATAGATACATATGAAACTTATAAATATTGTATCTTGTATTGTTCTTAATGCAAATATACATTGATGAAATATATTTTTTTCATGATGATGATATAAAAAATAAATAATATTACCACCAGTCTAAAAATATATTTATTTTTAATTTATTTATTTATTTATGATTTCAAAATTTTACTTTAAAAATCCAAATAAGTATATGATAGAGATATGTATAAATATAAGTTATTGTTTTTGATTTATATTTAAGATGTGTATAGAATTGAAGAAAATAAAATATATGAAGAATAGTACTACATAAACCAGCATACATATTACGAAATTGTAATTGCCATATTGCATCAATTTGATAACTAACTACAGCAGTTATTGGTAAAAGTGACATTGCAACACGTAAAAATGTATCTGATTTAAATTCATATGAAGCAACTTCATCGGAATGCACAAAAAATGAATTAGAACCCGAATGAGACGGGAGAATTGATACTAGATATATACAACAATTAATATGAAAGTATATATTTTAAATATATAAAATATTTACATGGATGCATAATGCTGACGGCATTCGAAGTACTTTATCAATTGATTTAGATTACCTAGTAACTAATGAATTAAATAAACAAAATGATGAGTCATTCTGAAATGTAATGAAAACGATCAAAAGTATATTTTAAAGTCTATCAATTATCTTTACTTTATCTACACTTTTATTAAAGCTCTTGAACATCAACATCGATTCGTCAACGTTACTAGATTGTTATTCTTTGACGACATTTCAATCGTTCAAAAGTGATTTCTGTAAAAAAATCATTTGAACTCTATACTTTGTCTCCATATTTTTGAAGCATCAATCAAATTAGCTGGAACAACGTAACAAGATGAAAGCTCAGATGGAGTTCGGACAAATCCCTACGCTGATTCTGTCTGACACTCACATGGACTACATCGATCAATATTACCTATTGAACTTATTACTTGCTACGAGTCATTATTAGCAGTCATTCTTCAAGATCATCCATGAGTACGAGAGAATCGTTCGAAAATTGAGACAAAAAATTAGTTGTCAACGTGTCCGGGAAAAAACGATGAGCAAAGGATGTCTCTTGATCCATAGATTACAACCTGAGAAATAATCTTCCCTATAGTCGAATATACGGTTAGACATTATAGATAAAATATTGTAGAATATTTGATTGAATCATTTTCATTTTATCACGTTTTGCTGAATATAGAGAAGAGGACGATTGACACGCAAACATTCCTCAAAAATCTTAATTATTCAGAAAAATAATTAAGACACATTATATTAATAAATATAGGTTTTTTCTGGTTTAAGTTGAGAAAAAAATTAGACAAAATCTTGACAAATAACAAAAGCAATTATTAATATATAGTTTTTCAACGAGTTAACAGCACTATGCTTTTTATGTTCTGCACTTCGTGGGCACGGTTTCCATCCGTCGAGTTGACAGTTCTTGCGAAAATCGGCTATTTTCCCTTCATTGTCAGTTAAAGCGACATGGGGACGGATACCGGTTGCATTATCAGATTGGCCCATTTGAGCTACTTTTTTTCCTTTGGTTACTTTATCGCCTTTTTTCAATAACAATGTTCCATCAGTCAAATGACAATATTTTATTGTACCAGCCGCATTTTTCATTTCAATATAGTTGCCACAATGGCTACATTCTGTATCTGTAACAAAATCTGGGACATTACGACACGTCATTAACACATTTCCGTCAGCAACGGCAACGATATCGATGCGTTTTTGTCCAAAAGAAGCAATATCAATGGCGTTGTTCTTCACGAACAAAACGAATGAAAAGATACAGCTCGTACTGTTACACCCTCATCACCAAACGCTGAGCCCTGAAATGCTTTCATGTAATTTCGTCAAGTTTGTTTTTAGTAAAGCTTGATGAAAACTGATTGTGTCTATTCGAAAATGATACTAGTGCGCAATTCTATTGTTCGAAGAGAGTTCTTCTATGAAAGTAGCTATCACTAACAAATCCATACTACGAAAATATGATTTTATTGTTATTCTCGTGCCTTGATAGAGAATCTGTTCATCTCAGTATTGATTGTTCTCTGTTTCATGATAGTTGGAAAAAACCAACTGTTAATAGACAACAAAATGTATCATTCATCAATTATTTATCAGATATTTTCTACGCAAATAAAAGCAATCATTTAGGTATACCTCGTGAACTTATCTTCTTTTTCACATTAAAGAATCACGAGAAAATATGTACCACAAGGAACTGTGAATGTGAGTATGTATATATGCATGTTTCTATAGAATATTAATGCACAGAAATACAATTAAAATATTCGAAAAAAAAAACAGAATGGTCAAGTCATTTTCACTATATCAATATGACTTGATCAGTACGTATTCTTGAAGTAAGTTCGTTTGCATAGTAGAAAAACAAGTGCAATTAAAATAATGAGAATTATATTTATAAGTAAGCAGTCGAAATTTAATTAAGAAAAATATTAAAAAAAAAACAGAATATTTTTTTTTCTTATATACAAATGCAAATTTCTGAGAAACGCATTTTATTTCGTCTTGCTTACATATTTATTTACAAAGTAAAACAAAAAAAATATAAAACTAATTTTTTCTTTTCTATACTATTCATCGTTTTCTAATGTTGGTTCAACAGTAAGTGCACTACCATGACCACTTCGTTCTCGTGTTAAAGATGTACCATAACTCCATTCATCTTTTTCAGGATCATAAATTTCAACAACAGATGAAAAATTTTTTCCATCATAACCACCTAAAATACAAAAAAAAAACAAATTAATCAAAAGAAAAAAAAAATAAATATGATTTTTACCTAAAGCAAAAAGACGTTTATCTAATGTAACACAACTAAGTGCTGATCGACGACAATTCATTGGTTTTACAAATGACCATTGTTCAGTAATTGTATTATATCGTTCAACAACATCAAGTTGCATTGGTCCTTCCATATTATCAGATGCATAACCACCAACAACATATATACATTCATCAAGTGCAGCTGCTGCTGCACCAGATCGTCCAACTCGAAGTGGTTGTTCATGTTTCCATATATTTGTATCAGGATTATAAGATTCAACATCAACTAATCGTCGATGTCCATCAAAACCACCAATAGCATATAGAAGTCGACTATGTGTGCATACAGCAAGACCAATACGTGGAACATGCATTGAAGCTACTTCTATCCATGATTGAGCAGCTGTTCCGACAGAATATAATTCAACAGATGAATATATTTGTTGACCACATGAACCACCAATAGCATAGATATTACAATCAATAACACCAACACCAAGACGATTTCGAGCATAAATCATTTTTGGCATTGTTGTCCATTTGTTCATAAATGGATCATAACGTTCAACATCATGACAATCTTTATTTTCATTTCTATATAAAGAAATAGAGAATGAAAGTTTTTTTGATATGTAACAATATGATGATTTTCTACAATAATTATTAAGAACTTCTATTATTGATTTCAAAAGAATATAATTTATTTTAATAATCGAAAATAATTAAGATATTTTCAACTTTTATTTAAGATTCTCAACATGTAAAATTAAAACAAAAATTTTTCTTTACATATGATTAGATAGATCGTGACGAGCTGATCAAGAAATTGTACATTTTCAATATTCTGAAAAGATTTTTTTTTCATTTTCTTTAAAGTTACAAGTCCATTTAAGATTCAATGTGAAAAACTGAATTTAGACAATTCATGTAATCAGTGAAGTAAAACTTTTTAATTTGATTTTTTTTTGTTTTCAACAATTTACTTTGTATTATGTCGTCCACCGATAACATAAACTCTCATATGAAGTGAAACAACACCCACACCACTTCTTGGTATTCGTAAATCTGCACAACGTTTCCATTGTTTTGTTTCTAAAAAGTAACATTCCATTGTATTAATTGATTTATTATAATAACCACCAGCACAATCTATAAAAAAGAAAATTTACAAAATATCAAAAAGATTATTTTCTTTTTTTGTATGTGTTAATATACAAATAACAAGTGGTTTAATTGGTGCACGACGTGGTGGTAAATGACAATATCGATGTGATGTAAGATTTTCATGTACATTAGATAAATAATCTCGACAATGTTGCATATCAGGTGGTGCAAAATCATCACAATTCATAGCATTTCGAAGAAATGATGGTTCAAGAAATTCAAAACGAACACATGGTAATAATTCTTTAAGTTCAGCACGTCGATTTAATGGATCATGTCGAACCCATTGCATAAGTGCCTAAATAAAAAAAAAAAAAAAATTTTTAAATCATAAGAAAAAAAAAAATTTTTTTTTTTCATATATTTTACATTATATATAATTGATTCACATTCAACTTTAACTTTATCATTTTTAATTACTGAAAATAAATCAGCAAAACTAAGTGAAAGAAATTCTTCATGTCGTACAATTTCATCAAAATGATCATGTATATAATTTTCAGCTGCTTCAATTAATGAATAACATAAATATTGTTTACCATATAATAATAATCCAACACAATTTGATGGATGTAATTGATCACGAAGATAAGCAACACATAATTCAATTAAATCATCAAGTAATAATGGTATTGAACAAGTTAATATGGGCATAATCTAAAGAGAATTTAAAAAAAAGAAAAAAAAACTTTTTTTTTAATCGAATTAAAATTTGCTTCTTTCTATAATGAGAGACATCTGACGAATTAAATATTTATGACAGAAGAGGAATGTGAATAAGTTTTTGTTGGTAATTGATGTTATCGGATAGGTAAAAAACAGAATAGAATATCTATTTATGTATATGAAAAATATTTATCAGTAAATATGTTTTATAAAGAACCAAAAAAAAATGATTTCAGTAAAATTCTTCTAAAATTAAAATATGAAATACAATCAAACAATTTTTGGCAAAAATTTGTAAGTCATTGTAAATAAACAAAAGAGTTTGTGACTATTATGAACTTTTCTTCTGCAATTATAACTAATTCAAGAAAACTTCACATTGAAATTTCTTCGATAGGATAAATTTTATATTGAATCGAACTTGAGTTATTGAATGTTTAAAAAGGCAATCAAATTATTTGAAATCTATTCTAGTATTTCACTTTATTGTTCTAACTGAAATTTTTATGACATTCTAGAATATAGTTCTTAATAGATTGAACTTAGCTTAACTGAGTACGAAATTCCCATATCATCACTGTTGATATTTGCATTTTCCAAAATTCTCATTGAGTCCTTTTATTGGTTTAAATTTTTTGCAATGAAATACAAGTTAGTACATACAATAGAACAAAAATATAACGATCTGAAATTGAATTAATAACAATTGACCAAAAGATTTTTAGTATGTTGACATAAGAGCGACAAATTCAATTGACTTAAAGATGTTATTACTTTACGTAGTCTAATGAAATTATATTACTCTTGCGTTGACATATATTCATTGTAAGGACAAGTAGATAATACCAATTAAATTGTCTGTTTATGTTGAAAAAAAAGCTTTTCCTCTGTTCAACACATGATCGTTTGTCTTGTTCTCTTTTTTTTTTTACAAATCAATAATGATGAAAAATTTTGATCGATTTAGCAAGTGAAACAGTCTATAGGAAAAATATTTAACTAGATCGCTAGTCTAGAGATGAAATCGGCAATGATCAAACGGTCTTAAACTCATATCAACACTACATAGATAAGTTTTGTAGATAATGATTTTTGACGTCGTGAACTTTTCACAAAGTTTTATTATACATTCTCTGTGAGATAATGAGAACAACAATTTAAGATATACCAGTAACGATTTGGTCTACTGATTTCGACTTATTATAAACATCATTCTAGAGTTTATGATGTACTCTTTAGTAAATTGTCATTGATAAGTTAATGCTCAATTAAAGTTCTCATGTTTGTATGTAAACCTTTCCAATAATAAAAAAAAAACTATCATTACTGAATAAAGAAATATTAAAATTTTAAATTCGAGATTAGATAAGTCTTTCTTTTTCTTTTTTAACTTACGCATCTATCATTAAGTTGTACGTGTGATGTATACATAAAATCCAATATAATATTCATTGTAAAAGGGCAAGGTACTAATTTTGTTAAATCAATATCTTCTGTTGTAAATGCTTCAATATGACCAGATTTACCAAACATAGAAGCAAAATAAGATGATACTGATGCTAAAACAATTTTATGTGCTGGATGTCGTATACCTTGTACACATAAAACAACATCACAAAAACGTTCTTCTTTTCTATACAATGACATTGTATCCATTAAACGAGCTTGTCTATCAGTTTTTAATTTATAAAGACGATCTGAACCTGTCAAAAGTTTCATTGTATATTTACCCATATCAAATTCACCTAAATTATTTATTGAGAGTAATCCGTTGAGGTTATCAAATTGATTATTATCTTGTTGAGAATGCCCGTTTAACATGACAATGTCTTTTATTTTACTTTAATCAAAGTACAAAAGAACACAAAATTTTTTTTTTGCACTAGTCATCATTACAATTTATAAACTAGCGTTTAACTGTCAATACTAGCAGTAACTTATTGTTGATTGCATGAATCAAATTTACTAATCATGACATCGAAAAATATTTCTGAATTAAGATGTCGCACAAGTTCAATGGACAAGCACGATGAAACATATTTCGATATATATATCTTTGCTCCTTTGCAGTGGAAAAAATATCTTAGAGAAGATTTCTCTAAATATTACTTGTATACAAGTTTTTCATTCATCAACAAAAAAAAGATAAGACAGAACACTTATATCGCTTGAGTAATAAAGAAACTCAATCTTGCAATGCTTGACTAACATATTGCTTCGTTCTACAACAATAAATCTCTACGATATAATCATAGTATCTTAATATCGTGTTATTAAACATTAATTAAGTAATTCAATTTTATCAAATACATTCAAATCTATTTAATAACAAGAATTATTTTGAAAATGTAAGACACATAGTTTTTTGTGCCTACATATTCTCTTTCGGAGGCTCAATTTCAAACTTCGGAAGAATCAATTCAATTGTCGGAGATATATCATCCTTGTCGATCTTCACTCTGGATAAAAGAAAAAACACGTCATTAACACTCATTGTATGTTGTTGTTTTTTTTTGGTAATAATCAAAACTATATCAAAATATTTGTTATAGAAAGAAAAAGAACGTTTTTTTTTTGTTTATCATTAACACAGTATGGAGTGATTCAGTCATATCTTTATCATATAACACAAAAAAAAGAAAACAGGTAATGAGGAGTGATGAAGGGATACCACTTGTTAGAGCTCAAATAGATAAAAGTTATTATACTGGTCAAGAAAGATCAACTGGAGAAGTTGGTACCAGTGGAATATCACGACGAATTCTACAGGGTTTAACAATAATGTCTGTTTTAGTTGCATGTGGTTGTTCAATATATGGATCAGTTCAAGCTGAATCACCATTTATTATTTTACCATTTCTTGTCGTTATATTATGGATTTTTATTCATTTTCTTCTTTTATTTTTTGCACAACGACAACAACATGAATTTCATCCACCAGCATGGTTTATATTTGTTTCAAGTGGACATATATTTATACAATCATTAATTGTTATAATTTTAACACTTTTTAAAAAACAAACTTAAAATTTTTATATGTAAACTAGCGATTTTTTTTTTTAAAGTAGAAAAATAAAGAAATAAATTCTATCATATTGTCTTAATATTATCTCGAAAGTTTTTATATAGAACACAAATAATATCGAAATGAAATTTTTATTATTTTTACCATCATATTTGAATGTTTGATAGATAATACTATAGAGTACATTATAGTATAGGATTAGTCGTAGATTATGAAACTGAATTTATTAAATGTCTACAAGATTATATGTGTGATATAAGCTTTTTTAATTAATATGTGTTTGAAATAGATTACAACTAGACAGATAAGCCGATTACATGGATCGATAGCGAAGTCTCAGTTCGGTCGGAGTTACACCTTTAAAAACAACGAATTTTCTACAGAAAAGTAATATTCTTAATGTTCAGTGAGTACTCTAATCAGCAAGTCTACAGGTCATTCCATTTATTTTGAAACGATTTACATGTTGTTTTTCTTGGCATGATAACTGAGAATGATCTCATGATTCTCATATCACTTGATACTCCTTATACGCAACATGTTGTTATGATATTTATATTTTGCATAAGCGAATGTCTCGTAATAAAATATCTGATAATATGGAAGGTATCGTCAAACGTCTTTTGACGAAAAAGTATTCATATTCTGTGATCCATCAGGAATTGTCGGAAATGAGAGTTTAAATGTATCAGAAAGAACCATTAGTCGTATTGCTAGTTATGCTAAAAAACAGCGCGAAGCATACTTATTAAATAATTAAAAACTAAAATTTTATCTTCCATGTCATGCAGCAACACCTGTAGTGGTCGGTCGTATTATCTCGTATGTGAATAAATAAAATCCTCCAGCAATTACTTTAACGACTGCAAGGTATCATACTAGCATTGGTACTACTTGTCGTATCATTCGTGATATTATTCAAGCAAAATGTTGTAAAAAATAGAGCAATACATTGATGATTTCTGTTTCTTATGAAAAAGAGATGATCTTGAGTTCGTCGTACGAATCGTCGATTATGCAAAAAATTATATACCAGGTCATGAAGCCTGGTGTGTTATATTGATGTAAGAGAAAATGTTACAGATATATATATATTCTTAAAAGTAATGGATTACTGTAAGAAATTAAACAATCAAACAATAAGATTAACATCCTGCGGCTGTGCTGATTTGGACTAGTATGAGTAAACATATTAAAACTCAGTTACGGTTTATGGAATATGGCTCAACAATTACTAGCAGATACTACTTAGAACGTAAAATAAAACATTTAGCAAATATGATGTTCCTTGTTTGTTTCCTAGTGATGCTGAAAAGAAAATGATTCTTCATCACAACAGTACCTTTGATCCTATGACAAAAAGGCAATTACTTATATGAAAGAGCATAACATCCAAGTTAGAACGCCGAATGAGTGGCTACCCAAGAGGCTAGATACTCCTCCAACGGGACTATTCGATTCGGAAGATCACAAAAGAACGAGTCGGGAAATACAAAGTGCCAACATTGAATAGCCTGAAAATCTTGAGCTCCATAAAATCGACGACGCTTTAGAGAATTGAGCAAAGCATTGTAGATTAATTTACTATGTTCATGAAACACATATTGAACATTTATTGCAACAAACGTTTCAAGATAAGAAAATAAAAAGCTTTCTAATTTGTTTCAAAATAAATGGAATGATCTGTAGTCATTATGCTCAACAATATCTCTGTTGAACATGCAGTTTGTAAGCTATTCTATATTCGAATAAGAACAATTGATTTAATCACTTTTGACAAACGAGGGCTACTATATACAAATAAAAATTCAAATAAGAAATCCAACACAATTATATTAAACAAAAAATCAAGATAAAACATGTGTAACAAAAGATATAAAATGAGTCAACCATAATACCGTATATAATAAATATCTTTTATTATATACAAAAAAAGTAGACAAGTGCAAAAATTTCAAGCATAATTGGAGACTAAAGAACTATAATATTACATTAATGAATTAAGCTTCTTTTTTCATCATCAGATGAAAAGTATTCTATTTCAATCTATTCATTTATATATAAATAAGAAGTAACACTTCAATATTTTTGTTTTAACATATTCGTTCGATAGAAAAATTTGTTAATCGTTTTCATATATATTCAATCGAATTTATTGATTCAAACTAAATATGAAATTTAAAAAACACACATATTTACAAGAAATTTTGAATATTCGCATGTGCTACTTATGTGTGTTCATGTAAAGCCTAATCGTTTGCATAGACATGCTAAAAACTTACCTACATTTATATATATAAGAAGATTAGGATTTTATCTAATCCTTTGTATCAATGCAAAAAAGTTGTATTAACAATTCTTAACACTAAAGTGACTTTGTATTGGCATGTAAAATTTTACTATTTTTTTTATGTAAATATATTGATGCATGGTTTCTTCTTCTATGTGTCATTATTAATGTATTGTTTCAAAGTGTATATTCTTCTAGAATCCTGTAATATTAGTTGAAAAAATTTATTCATTTTTCTCTCTCGAAATTTTCTAAGAATTGTTAACATTTATGTACTTACTATTAGACGATTACTATGAGTAATAATTTTGAATACAGTTTTAATATAAGTACATAGTTAAGTGGGAGAAAAGCTGTTTTTTTTTATCAAACAATGTATATAAGTTTGAATTTTATATTTGAAAATAATTCATTTTACTTTTAATGATTTCTCATGTATTTTTTCAGTTTTCTGTACTTTTTCTAAGGACATCAAAATATGAGAGCAGTTTCGAAATGAATAAGAGAGATCAAGACTTCTACAAAGTAATTTGAATGAGTATTTGTATACTCAACTAATTTATATAAAGTTTTTATAGATCTGTACTCTATTCTGTATACTGTAGTAGTACGATTCTTTTTATTTAAATATAAAACTAATCATTAGAAAAAAAAACAAAATCTGTCAGCAAAGTGTTTGGAATTAAAATATGTGGAATAGAATGTATCTACTGTTGCCTATCACAAGGAGATTAGTTTATTCTATCTATTTTGAGACAAATTTTTTCACCATCTTTTTATTTAATCCTCTAGAAATACGATAAGAAAGTATTTCATGTATTAGAACGAGACGTTATAGGTAGAAAGTTTTGGTTTGTATATCAACAAAAGTTGTCAAGGTCTATGAGAGTACAAATATCTATTGTATATAATTTAACATTCATTTTAGATTATCTTTTACAAAACAGAGACACATATAATTGAAAATTAAACAAAAAGAAAAAAAGATTCAATTGTAACAATAAAAATATGATGATATCTTCGTATGTATTTTTAATATTCAGAATAGACATCAATTTTTTATCTCTAAATAATAGAATAAAAGTAAATATAAGGAAATCTGAACATGTCGGTAGAGCAATAAATAGTCTCATATTCATCAATGAATATAACATTAATGTCGAGTCTACTTCTTTTCTATAATTGAATAGTTCAGATTTCAATGTTTTCCTATCCTAATTTTAGAAATATTCATGTCAATATTAATAAAAAAAAAAAATAATTTTTGTTAGTTTTGAAAATGAATATTCGTTTTTAGTTTTTATCTTCAATCTTTATTATAAAACGAGAAATAACTCGTTGAAAAAAACAAAACATAAACTATTAGAATTAGTTTTCTCTGACATTTATTTAATTAGATCCTTTTTCTCGATCAGATAATTTCAATACGCTTCGGTACATATTATTATATTATTACTTTGCCTAATATTCTAGACAAAAAGAAAACAAGCATTAATATTACAATAAGTATTCGTAGTTTTATTTGGGATCAAATTTATAAAGATAACTGATACGATTTTTCGATTGAATAGACAAAAACACAAAATTATTTGTGTACTATCTCGAATCATTTGGATGTGTACGCTGAAAAGTCTTACCCGTCGAATGAGTCAACTCATCAGGGATCATATAAAATAAATTATTTCTTAGAAACATCATTTTTCATTGTGTTATTAATTTTATTAGTAAGATAGGTTCTACTTTTCTTGAGATAAAATATACTCAGTACTTAAAATAAGAAAACATTAGAATATATTTTACTTTTTTATATTCTTTGTCAAGGATAATTTAATGTACATATTCAAATAATGATTCCATTTGGTTTCTACAAAACTTCGATGTAAACATTTTGTTTGTGAGTACAGCCATACTTAGTTTCGATTATATAAAAACCAAAAAAAGTTTTCTCTATGGAAGATAAAAGGGTTTTTGGCGTATTTTACTATGCAGTCAGTTTTATTTTTTAATTTGACAACTATTTTATATGCCATTTTTAAATGCAGAACTTAACGAATTATATTTTTGATGAAAAAAACTTATAATTATTGCTTTGAAATGAATAATTTTAATAGAGTTTGTTGAAGAGTTTTTTTCAATATGAAGAAAGTACAGTGTTTATTATTCTTAAAATAAAGAAATAAATTTGAAAAGCTATCATTTGATTGAAGAATAATATTTTAATTTTTCAAATGAGACTTTGCAATATTCTATTCAAGTGTTAAGAAATAGTTTAAGTGATAATTTTCATTCTATAATAAACATTATGATCTCATTTTGACAGAGTAAATTCTATTCTTTAAAAAGCGTTAATTTGACAAATTAATTATTTTATTTCATAGTTGATTGTTTCTTTTTTTTTCTTTTGTTAAGAATAATCAAGACTATGTAAGTTTGAATCTGAAAACACTATAAAAAATTCTACTAAGAATATTCATTTTGAAAAAAATAATTAAGCATATTTTTTTTTTCTTCACTCAGTTTTTGATACTGATGAAAAATATAAACAAGTTATGATTTTTAACTTTATCTCGGATTTCGTGTCGTAATTTTAATTATAGTATAATGAGAATGATCTACTTCAACACGAATAAGATTGTGAAACAATCTTAAGAATTTTCATTGATATTCTAAGAACTTTTAATTGAGATAAGTTATATAGTACTTAAACAACTG